GGTATTCTATAAGATAAAGGTTTCTTCTCCCTAATCGTATCACTTATGTTGATGATTAGATTGTCCCAGATTGGGCTAGTGGGATGCTCTGTAAGCTGACTTCTCTGTTCTTTTGACATGATACCATCATTCTTTGAGCTAATCCCCCCACCCCTACCACCTTTCTAGTACCACAAAATGTCAGGCTCATTTTGTGTTGTCCCTGGCTAGCTCCAGAGTCAGTCTGTTTCTCTAAGAGCCCTGATTCCTTTTAATGGAGAACGATACTTAGAAATTAATATCTGGGCACTGGGCACACTGTTGTTATTGAGGTATCATTATTCCAGGTCCTCTAGGAAATATTTGTATAGACACATACACCGATATATGTACACACACACATCTATATGTATTATTCTGTCTGTTTTTAAAAAACCATGAGTTTATAATGTTATTTCTAATTCCAGTCCAGCTATACAGTTTATTCTGTCCTCCCCACTTTTCATATTTGTAACTTTCTCCAGTAGTAAAAAACCAGCCCTCATATTCTCTCTCTCATGCACACTTTCTTGCTGAATCATTTGAAAGGAAGTTGCAGGCATCCTGCCACTTCATTCCTGAGTATTTCACATGCATCTCCTAAGAACAAGACATTTTCCTTTCTAACTACAATATGAGCTGGGCACAGTGACTCACACTTGTAATCCCAGCACTTTGGGAGCCCGAAGCAGGTGGACCACAAGGTCAGGAGCCTCATGATCAGACCAGCCTGACCAACATGATGAAACCCTGCCTCTACTAAAAAATTAGCCGGGCTTGGTGACGCGAGCCTGTAATCCCAGCCACTCTGGAGGCTGGGGCAGGAGAATCGCTTGAACCCGAGAGGCAGAGGTTGCAGTGAACCAAGATCTTACCACTGCACTCCAGCTTGGGTGACAGAGCGAGACTCCGTCTCAAAGGAAAAAACCAAATAACTACAATATGATTGTCATGCTTAAAATACTATAAGTGTTCATATTCACATGTCCCCAGTTGACCTAATACTGACCCTTATAGTGCTTTTTTTTTTTAACTGATGCAGGATCCAATCAGGTATCACATACTGCATTTACTTGTGCTTCTGTTGTCCCCTTAAATCTAAACCATGTGGATAGTTTGGGTTTTGTGGGGGTTTTTGTTTTGTTTTTTTCTTTTTATGACGTTTACATTTTGAAGACACCAGGCTGTTGTTTTGAAACTTCAGATTTGTTTCATCATTTTGTTACTATTAGATTCCGTTTAAATATTATTTTCTGGCAAGAATACAACATAGGTGGTGGCATGTCCTTTTCAGTGTATGACATCAGGAGATGCGTGATGCTGCTTTGTCTCTGTCGGTGATGTGTAATAAAATTGGATCACTTGGTTAAGGTGATAGCAACTGGATTTCTTCATGATTTTCCCTTTATGTCCTGTTTCTATAACAGCATTTTACCCAGTGATTTGAGCATGTATTGATGATCCTTGCCCTTGATAAAGTGGTGATTATAAAGTGGAGATTTTCTTTCTTTCTTTTTTTTTTTTTTTTTTTTTGAGACAGAGTCTCGCTGTGTCTCCCAGGCTGGAGTGCAGTGGCGCGATCTCGGCTCACTGCAAGCTTCGCCTCCC